TTTCTCAGAATGCTCACAAGGCCGACAGTTGCCAGGACACTACCAAGACTGCAGGGATTATCAAGACTTTCCCACAGTCTTAACGCACGTATAAAAATACAGGAGTGTGTTTGGAATGTTCATCTGCTCATTAAGAAGAAACACATTCATTAAAATAAAAAGCTGCCTATCACAAAACCCATGAAAAGGTTAATTTTTAAACCTAAATTTGCAAAATGACAGTTCACTATAAAAAACGTGTAGGTTACAGCTGGCCTGAGCTCGCTAGATCTCAGCAGCGTCAGTCGGCCCGGGTCAGTCCCTGGGTGGGAGACCAACCAAGGAAGTTCAGGGTTGCTATGCAGAGGCAGGCAAGGGCAAAGCAACCTCTATTCACTGCTTGCCTTGGCCACCCTGGGGGGCTGCCATAAGTCAGCTGTGACCTGATGGTTCAGTTCAGTTTATTCGGTATATCACCAGCCCAATTACAGACAATACAAAAAGGGTACCAATAATATATATAAAATATTTAAATATAAAACTGTGTTTAATCTGCGTATGTTAATTACAAAATTACTAAAACTCTAAATTTCTACAATACTCTTATCAACTGTTATTCAACTGTTGAGTAAGTATTATAGGGGTTCAGTGCCACAACCAAGAAGGCCCTTGCTCGGGTTGTAATCAGTGGAAATGTGAACCAGCGTGTCAGAGGTTGTCTCTAGATTCCCCCATTTTTGGCCCAACGAACTTACTCTCTTTGTACATTCTGTTAATTTGACCGAGCTCCTGGTTGGTCCGCGAGCAAATGATCTCGATCAGCGTATCTTCGTCCGTTCCCAGGCCCTGGGAAGAAGAGCGCAAAGGGACTGAGCGACAGACACACACACACAAAAAAAACCCACTTCCTGAATGGCCCACAAGTTTTGATCAAAGCGCAGTTTAAAAGCCCGTCTGCAATTTCAACTGAAAGAAAAAGCAATTGCCAAAAAGAAGAAGAAGTAACAATAGGAGAGAGAGAGCTTCTGCACTTTGACATCAGAGCAGTCTTCGAAGGGATGTCATATAGAGGGTGGAGCCGAGTTGGTTTCTGCCACCCCAGAAGGTCGGGCCAGAACCAAGGGGTTGAAATTTCCAGCTAAACAGGAGGAAGAACTTCCTGACAGTTAGAGCGGTGCCTCAGCGGA